TTTGGCATCATTTGATAGAACTCATCAAACTAGTTAAGAAAATATCATTTTAAAATTTTTTCAACATAACTTTGTCGCCTAAAAAAATCGAATGATACATTCAGGTACGATTTATTGAAAATTGATACTCTTTTTAAAAGTAGATACTTATTTTTTATCCAAAATTATTTTTTTCTGATTCTTCTGCAAAAAGTGAGTTTCAAACACTGTACAGTGTCCCGAAAACTTGACCGTGCAGCACGTTGATTCTTTGGTTTCGCGTGCCATTTTTTATATAGATGTCACAGAGGATCGCGATGGTCAACGTATTCGCAATGGTCTTTTGTCTGTATGATTCAGTTTTAATTGCAAAACTTCGTTTTATCAACTTTTTATTAAAAAAATAAGTCTGTGCACCGGTCTTTTATGGCTGAAAAATTGCAATATATACTTGAGCACATTCGAACTTACTAAGTTTGAAAAAAGACGAAACACCGATTCCCACTCTCCCAATGTTTGTTAAAATCTACAACATCGAAAGCTATTTTGCATGAAAATTCAAACTAACCCCATCAGCGGATAGAATACACGAATATGTACTAGAAAATATGGAAGAGACAAAAGTGCAACTCATTTCTGTCGAGATAAAAAGGCAGAACAAAATCATAGTTAACATATCATTAACTTGAAACCGGCGCCAAATGAACAAACTGACGCCAAAGCAAAGTAAATCGATATTAAACACTCTTTTACGGCTTAAAGCTAACCAAGACTGGTTTACGCGCTAATACAAAGATAGATTCAGTTTCGCAAATAATTTTAGGGTAGTGCTATTGCAACTCTCTGAGGGCGTCAAAACGAGTCATTGTATTTTAACTTATGAGTGTAAGCTCCGATACACTTTGTGAATTTCTTTGCATCGAAGTTCTAAGGATGTTTTCCCTAAGGTACCACTGGTTATTTGTATTGTTATTCAGGGTGCTTTTCTATTTCTTTCAATTACGTTTGTACGCATAACTGGTTGCATTTGTAGACTATCACTGAAAAAGTGTAATATGTTGACGTGGGCTTGGTGTATTCCCATTGACAATACACGAGAATACACAAATGTAACAATTTCCGACATGCAACTTTGAATTTATTATCATCCACGAACTATTGCATAGTGGCAATGCAAAGAAAGTCATAAAGCTTTCCGAAACTCACAAGTTAAAATACGACGACTTTTATTGACACTCTCAGAGACTGGCAATAGCCATTCGCTAAATTTTATTAGTTTTGTTCATTTGACGCCGGTTTCAAGTTAATGATATGTTAACTATGATTTTGTTCTGCCCGTTTAACTCGACAGAAATGAGCTGTGCTTTTGTCTATTCGATATTTTCTAGTACATATTGATGTGTTCTATCCGCTGATGAGGTTAGTTTGAATTTTTCATGCAAAATAGCTTTCGATGTTGTAGATTTTAACAAACATTGGAGGAGTGGGAATCGGTGTTTCGTCTTTTTTCAAACTTAGTAAGTTCGAATGTGCTCAAGTATATATTGCTTCAAGGTATATATTTCGATGTGCCTTGATCTTCACAGCTCAAGTCATGTCACAAGTATTGGGAAAAAATATTTCATCTCCTTAGCATCTGATTTTACGAGAATACTCTTTTCGTCTAGGTGCCATTTACCAAAATATTTCAAATAGAAGTGATGAAATGATTCTTCTAACTTTTCAGCGTTCGTGAAAGGGAGGAAGAGTTATGAAAGACTTTTCCTTCCGAAATTTTCACTTTGAAACCAAGGTCCAGCCTTTATTCTGTCACTTTTAATAATTCATTTTTCTAAAACATTTCTAAAAAACGACCGATTACTTTTAAGTTTCTCTGATGGTGCACATTAGGATTGGACGATATATACATCACTGGATAGAGCACGTCTTCCTCTACAAGCTCATACATATCCCGTTTTGGGGTCAAAAGTATCCTGAAAATTATAGTCGTCTTTTGGTAGAAATGAAATATAAAGGGAACCGATGATATACAAGCAATACCCTACATTAATCTAACACTTGCATCGTCTACAGGGATATGAAATGAGAGGAAACAAGCGCACTATTTATTAATGCTACGCTAGGATTTTTAAAAACTTTGAACACCATAGTGTTCTTTCTTCACCTCGCCCCTAATTTAATCATTCTATTACGAATTCTTAATCTCCATATCTACAGATTGCCACATGTCCTGACTTTGTGTTGAAGTATTTTGTCTTCGACGAAATGAGACTGGCGAATTACTTTTCAGAAATCATAATCATAGTTCAATTTTTCTCAACGAAGTCTTATTGACCATTGTACACAAATGCAAAGCGTCTACGGTTAAGATGGGAATTTTCTAAAGTCGCTCATCGTTTTGAACCGAGATGCAGCAGGTTTCGTGTAAAATATCGTGCGATACTTTCAAATAAATATGTTGAAAATCTGTCAAGTGCATTAGTGTGGACAAAATGTCTAAAGACAAACTGACGAATCACAATATTTGAGTGTAAAAATGATACGATAATTTGCATTTTACCATTGTTTTGCGAATTCGTAATTCAGTGCGAACTGATGGGAACTGACAAAATGATAAAAAAATAACCAAAAAGGTGCCTCTTTTGTTCCTCTTGACAATTCGTAAACTGGAACCAATTCGTAGGCAAGAAAATTCGGGTACCCACGAATTCGTAAATCGAATTGGTCTACTATCAACGAATTCGTGAAATGATCTTTTTGGTCAGCAAGAATTCGTATACGAATTCGTAGATTGCCAAAAATGCGAATTTACGAATTCGTCGGATATGTGTTGGCATCGACAGATTCGTATAGAATTCGTAAATTCACATATTTCTCACCTCAATTCGTCGTTATTTGTACAAATTCGTAAAATGCAAATTGATGTCAAGGACAAGAAATATTTCTATGAGGTTAAGAAAAGCAAAGAATCGTTTCACCAATTCGTCGATAGTTTTTTACGAAAGAAAACAGAAAGGGATCTCTCTCCTTTTTGTATGCATGCGCGGGGGAGAGGGGAGAAAGGGCGCCGTGAGGGTGGCTGTGAGTATTTACACAACAAGCCAAGCATTTTTCTTTGTATTTTACTCAGTTTTTTACGAATTCGTAATAATAACGGCGTTGTTGTTGATTTTGGCTTATATGAAAGTGATGGTGAATATGAATTCCCTTCTTTATGTGACGTCGCAATACCAGTAGCAGAAAGATTTTTCTGTTCTATTTCGAGTACTTTTTTGGAATTTTTTAGTGACTAAAATCAAAGTGATTCCTCAGCCAATGTGTTGGATAACATATTTGTGTTTGCACTCAATATGAAGAGAGCGAAGATCCAGTAATTTACGCATGCGTTATTCTCATGCTGACGTCTGTATATTCGTAGGCATTCATTTTCTTTCAAACGGTTTGAGAAATACAGACAAGAGATAGATAACAGTACAATTAGCTGCTCAAATATTGATTATTGAATGGTGGATCGAATGACATAAAAAGACCGGTTTCATCTCTAAATCAAAACTAAATGAGTTTATAAACTTGACTAAGGGCATTTTAGGGGTCCAATTCCCACTTAAAAGTTCGATTAAAAATGTTTTTTCTAAAAATAATCATAAACGAGGAAAACTAACTAGAGTTCAACCAGTGATCAAATATGGTCATACTGTTAAGACAATACAGTTAAGGGTTTAACATGTGCATGCAACAATTATTTCTTAACGAATTCTCTTACTTATAGCTTTTAACAAGTTAATATGCAATAACCACCGTGTGTGATGCATAAAATATTATATATGAAACGAATCACGAAAGTATGAATTAAGAAAAATTTTTAATGGGACCAATCCAGGCTAAACTTTTATTTGAAATAAATTTAAATATTATATAAGTATTACTCGTTTACGCACGCACACATATAAAAAGTATTTAATTAGACACAAAAAAAGGTCTTACTATTTTTCTTCATCCTGCTTTAATCATTTCTACTTTTTATTTCTGTGATCGATTCATTATTGCATATTGTTGACAGCATACAAAATGAAGAAAATCATCAACATGCAACGAAGATCATCGAAAAGCTGTAAGTGTGGATTATAAACAATTCTAATATAACAGAAAAATCTAGCCACCCATAATACAAGACCTATTTTCGCGAGCAACTGAAGTTTGAGCGATTTTGAAGATGGTAACAAGAGGGAGCGCTCACTATACTGAAGATAGCCGCACGGAAACATGTTTAGCTTAGAAAGCTGATTTTCTTTCTCGAACAGTTCAAGTCCAAACTGAGAAATGTTTTCGCTATTGTATAGCTAAAAGTATCTAGATTCAGAATATCTGTCGTTCAAGTATGTAAGTTTGATAAATTTAATTAAAAAAAACCTTTTCTGGCCACGCCTGTAATGTTAAACCCGTTTTCAGCCAAGGATTTTCCGTAGAACCTTAGCAGTTGGAACAAGACTTTTAACACCATCAGATAGCTCACCTATTGAAGTAGAAAAGATTTTTTTCTTCTCTCAATTCAGAGATAAAATGAACCTGAATGTCATGCCAAAGTCGGACTAACTTAAAAAATGTTAATGCTAAAATCAACCTCAATTAAGAACATACAAATATAAGACTGAATGTCAACTAAATGACTGTCTAACCTAAATCTCAGAAAAGGTTTAAATTTTTCACACTAATAAGTGTTTCCGAAGACATACTTTTCTGTATTATAAGGTCGTTCATTTCACGAACGAGAATAAACAACAATGAAAACTATTCTTACTGGATTTTGACAAAAATTTTATATAGAGTTGGTTTTCTCCGAAAAGTATCTTGAGTAAAAAGCCTCAGTTTCAGCTCGTTAAACTACATCGAATTACATGTAACACGATTACTATTTAGCAAAAAAATGTCTCCTAAATTGTCTAACCTCTGTTCGTTCTGAGACATTTTTTTCAGAAAAAAGATGTTGTTTTCGCTTTACGACCTGTCCAGATGTAACGGATTTCATATTTCTAAAGTAAGTACCCTACCCTGTATCTCGGTAAGCACAGAATAGATAAAAGTGAAATTTTTATCAAATGTGTAGACCATCGGATTCTCCTACAAACAAAAGTATGAGCTCGTTTCATTCACTCAATCAGAAGTTATAGGAAAAATGGAAGCCGTAACAGAATTTCCAAAAATTGACGATTTTTTTTTGAACTTTCAGAACTTTGATCATTTCTCTGTAATAGTACACTACAAGAAGTTCTTGTTCGTACAAAAGTTGTAGAATTTTCCTCAGGCTTTCAGAATATCTACTTGGTCTTGTATGAGGATGTGTGGATCAGAAAAAAGAGCAAAACTACTTCCGTAATGGAATTCCATTCCGTCGCGGAACTTTATCGTTTTTCGTAGTTTCATATGCGATGATTACATTCCATTGCGCAGTTTTACTTGGGCCAATCCATTTAACTGCTACCACGTTATACAAAAGTGACAGTGCAGAAAGCGAGACACATTTGCGGATGTAGTCTTGCACGTTGATTCGAATGATGAAAACTGCAGCTCTCTAATTGTCTAGGGCAAAAAGTTATACGCAATTTTATTTTTCAACAAAAAAGCGCATTTTTCACGATTTTCCAGCAGAAACGCCCTCTATTGCAAAGCCTCTAGAAAGCGTATTTCCGCGTGTAGAGCCTTCGTTTTGGTCTCAAATGGAAGAGGATGTCAAGATCTATATAGGTCAATGAAAAATATTCCTGTTAATTTTTTGGAACCGGTCTAAAAGATCTCCAAAAACTCAGGTTTTCCAATATTCCCAGGGAATTTCGGATACATGGAAAAATCTTTTTAAATCCACTAGTCGGTAGTCCATTCAATTCTGAATAAAATGAGATGTCTCCGAAGTTTATAGCACCTTCCACTAAAGAACTCAGTCGACTAGTGGGCGGACAACGTACTTCAAACATACGGAATTCGAATCCCGGAATTCGAATCCCGACAACGGCGGTCGCGTGATAGTCTTGGACAAGCTATCTAATGCTCATTATCTCGGTACCCTTGGATACAGATGCAATGGGATAACCCGATTTCAGTGCCACTGGACTGGAGAGATGAGAGTTAAAGTTTAAAAAAAAACCTGAAAGGAAAATGCGGAAGGCGGGAGCTTTTTAGGCTGAAATTTTCGTGTTTGTTGCAAAAATTCGACATTTTCCTTACAGTTATTTACTGGAAGGCGCTAGAAACTTCGGAGACTTTTCATTTTATTCAGAATTGAACGGACTAAAAATTTTTCAATATATCCGAAATCCGCTAGGGTTGCTGGAAAATTGGAGTTTTCTGGAGATCTTTTAGATCTGTTCCAAAAATTAACACGAATATTTTTCATTGATCTATATAAATTCCGAGATTCTCTTTCATTCGAGATCAAAACGAACGTTGTACGAAAGGGATAGCAGGTCTAAATTACCTCCGGAAAATCACAAAATCCGCTGGGAAATGCCGAAAAATGCGCTTTTTTGCTGAAAATTAAAATGAGTGTAACTTTGTCTCCTAGATCTATAGCTAGCTGTGATTTTCACGATTGGAATCAGCGTGCAAAACTGCATCGGAAAATGTGTTTCTCGTCTTCTGCACTTTAAATCGATGTAATGGTGCTAGGGTCTATATGAATTTACCCACTTGGCGTTTCATTTATGCGCAGTGAAGCAAGCAGAATTATTTTTGATTTCAAAAAAAATTAGATGCACAGTGAAGTATTATTGTGTATATTGAATACATGACGGAAAGATAAACAAAAAAATATCACGCGAACCAAGATTAGAACCAATAGTGCTTCGTAGTTTCATATGCGGTGATTATACTCCATTGAGAAGTTTCACTAGCAGAAATTTCACGTGATATGTTCGATTGACCAGACGAAATGCTCACGAATCTCACTCGAAGCAGAGGTACAAACTCTTTTCCTGATTTGTGACTTCTATTTGAGAAAGGTCTACTAGCTTTCAAAGGCGTCGATTTTTCAGATGAATTTCACTGAACTGAATACATTCTCCTACGTAAATGAAGGTTTTGATACATTCTGATTTCAAATCCGATCTCAAAATTTGCAAATTTCATCTTAAATTCAAAAACCACTTTAAAATCGAAATTTTCAATTTTCGATTCGTGATCAGGGTGGAAAAGTACGTCTAAAGATGTGTATCACAAAACTAATAGAGGAAAAGAATTTCACTCAAACTCCTGAGATAAAGGAGACCGTTAGGTGGACAAGTTCTTGGGTCTAGTTCTTTTTTTAAACCCTCATTTATTAGGCTCAGAATTATTAAGATAAGAACAAAAACAAGAGTTGTCTTTCGTCTGATGGATATTAAAGAAATTTAGAAACACGTACAATTGTAACTTCTAGCGCATTTTTTCTTTTCTACATGTATCGTCAGTCATTAGCATTGTCTGTACGACATATAAATGTTAAAATGCATGAAATCAAAAACTTTGTTTTATTAAACTGCGATTTCCATATGACAGACATTCGTTTTATTTATGGGAGTTACAATATTCAAGTTTTGAAGTAAAAAATGTATATTTTGTGAAGAAACTCTAAAATGCATGTTGAACTTAAAATTATTTTTCTAGTCCCAACCGTCACTGAAGAGCTTGAGAAAGATGGAGAAAACCGAACAAATTTCAAGCGACTGTCAGTTATCGATCAGTTTATAGGACTAGAACTTGTTGAAGCACCAAGAAGAAGTCCAGTACCGCCAATCATCAACAGTCACTCTATACCGATTGATCGTGTTAAATGCGGTTCAACGAAAAATATCCTTTGTTTTATCTGTCATAATATTCTATATGATCCAATTTCATGTAAAACATGTGAAAATTCATTTTGTACCGAATGTATTGAACAATGGCTGGACAATCAACGCCCACAACGTAGATGTCCACATCAATGCAATCCGTTTAAGAAAAAAAATTGTCCACCAGACATTATAAATCAACTATCTATATTAATTATTGATTGTTGCTACAAACCAAATGGTTGTAATGAAAATATCAGTTACGATAGCTTGAAAGAACATGAAAGCGAATGTGATTATAAAATGCAACAATGTCGGGGATGTTCGCAGTTCGTATGTAAAAAAGATATTATCGAACATGAAGAAAGCTGTGGTTTTCTACAATTTTTTCAATGTCGGCTGTGTGGTATAAGGCATCAAAATAAACAAACTAACCATGAAATTGTTGATTGTTTATTGAATCGTCAATTACATCTAGAAGAGAAAATGGCACGATTGGACAGAGATAACCGATTACTAAAAGAACGATACGACTTTATTATTGGAGTTTTACAAAAACAATCCACGGATAAACCGTAGGAAGATAAAACAAACTAAGGTTTATGATTTTTCTTATCCAAGTTCCATGATCTTTCACTATAGTCTGTCACGGATACCATTGATGTGCAACATGAACGAACAATGCTAATCTTATCCGAAGTTTCTCATTAACTAAATCATAGTTTTACGCGCCACCTAAATTATTTACTCTTGAGCAAAATTCTGAAACTTTGATGAGCATCCGAGCGTGTGTTGTTGGAACATATATAAACGATTTTCAACCAAAAATTGCAATATTTTGTGAAACTTCGACGTGTACTACTAGTAGCAGGTGTAGCTAACAGCAAAAGTTATTACGAAAGATCATTTCGTCAATGTCTGTTGTATATAAAAGAAGAACGGTTGAGGAAATTACTCAATCATCGTTATTAGATAGAAGATGTTCGAAAATAAACTATGATATAACACCTATCTGTAGGTTATATATTGTTTTACTTAGTTTTTCTTTTTGCCCAGAATTTTCTGACGTGTTCCTCTATGGGTTTTCTGGAAACTCCAGTTTTTTGGCAATTTTACTGTAAAAAATAGGGGGAGTACTCTTAAGGGTTCTTGGTGTTTCGTGGTTTTCGAGCAAGCTTTCTAGAAGTCTTGAAAAACAGGATCTTTAAATAATAATTTTTTCTGCACACTTACACAAGTAAATCTTTTCTGAACACGTAGATTTGTAGAGCAGATTTTTCTGATCAAAATAAAACGCTGCAGAATTCTGTGTGATCTTGCGTTCAAAAATTACAAGCATTTTCCTACATGTCCTTAATAGACCAACGAATGCACAACGTTTTCTTCCAGGAGGAAACAGCTAATTTTTGGATTTTTCCGATTTTCACCGATTTTGCTGATTTTCATCGATTTTCACCAAATGAAAAGTCATCGGAAATGACTAGAAGTCATTGAAAATCACATAGAATTACAGAGGATCACTGAGAATCCGTGAAAATCAGTTGATTTTGAGTGATTTTTAACTTATTTTGCACTGATTTCAGTCTGCTGTTTCCCCCTTGGTTTGAGGGGTGGGAGAGAAATCAACAAACCTCAATTATGCTATCACAACGAGAAAGATGCTGCATCCACGAGAATTTTGTATCTCTTCATAGAAACTCTTTCTTGCCTAGTCCACGAGAATAATGCTTTTACACGAGAATTATGCTGTTTTGTGTGAGAATTATGCTGTTTTGTGTGAGAATTATGCTTAAATCTCAAACATATTATGCTGCCTTCACGAGAATTTTGTATCAGTGCAGCGAAACTTTTTCTTGCCTAGTCCACGAGAATAATGGTTTTACGCGAGAATTATGCAGTTTCGTGTGAGAATTATGAGTGCACACATAACATATTATCGTCTTGTCAAGCGTCTGTCGTTTCTGACCTCAGAGACGTTAACACAATCTCTCACAGACAAACGACCCCTCACCCTCACCCCTCACCCTCACCCAATCCTACTGGAGACGTCTGAGGAATTCTCAAGTCAAACAGACTACTTCTCGAATAATTCACAGACACAAAATTCTCGCGCCGACACCACAATCTCTTCTAGAATACATGTGTAATTCTTTGAGAAAACAGCACTATTCTCGCGCAAAAACATTATTCCCGTGGCCTAGGCAATAAAGTTTCTATGAACACATACAAAATTGTCGTGAAGATAGCATAATATGCTGCAGATGATATCCACAATACTCACACAAAACAGCATAATTCTCGTGTAAAAGCATTATTCTCGTGGATAAGGCAAGAAAAAGTTTGTATGAAGAGATACAAAATTCTCGTGTAGAGACCATAATTTCTGCTAGACTACATGCATAATTCTCACACAAAACAGCATAATTCTCGTGCAAAAGCATTATTCTCGTGGATAAGGCAAGAAAAAGTTTGTATGAAGAGATACAAAATTCTCGTGTAGAGACCATAATTTCTGCTAGACTACATGCATAATTCTCACAC